TGGTAATCGAGTGAATTCGAATGATAATAGCGATTATTCTTATTGTTATCATGAGTTAACGCCAAACTTGTTCTCGTCGATCGGTCAATATTGACAGACGAACTGAAATTACCTGTTGCATCTTATTTGACAGAACTGTGACACAAAATGAGAAGAAAAATCAAGATTTAGATCTTGATCTGTAGAAAGACGAAGAAATTATATTCCAATGTCTATCAAAGTTTTAAAATTTTTAAATTGGATTAAGAATGATTTTCAACTCTGTAAACCCGAAAATTTTTTGAGTAAAATGAATGTTCTCAGCAAGGATTTGTGGATAGCAGAGCACAAGCAGTTTTGTGTGCGGATTGATATCAGCTATCAAAACAGTGCAACTTATCATTTTTTGTGAATAGATCAACACCGAGAAGTATAATTTCAAGAACAAACTTAATTGCTGCTTGATAGTTGTAACTCGTTGGTTGCATGAAGTTGTTCGATGATGTAAAAAGCGGTTGAGATGACCATAAAGTTGGATTTATATTTGTTGGCATTGCTGACATTGATCCCAATAAAGGTGCATTCACTGAATGTGCGTATCAGAGTCAACTGATGAGAGTGTTTGAAATGGCAGGTCAGGAAGAAATTTGAACTGATCATCACCTTCCTTTGTCATTATCTAATGAAGTTTAAGTATCGTTCATTTTCAAACGCACCAAATCACTGAACAAATATGCAAAAGTAACCATTTTGATCATTTTTATTAATCGATCTATAAGTTCCGTTTATAATCGCCAATTCCATCAATTGTTTCCTCTTCAAATCGTCTTTACCAAGTGGCTAAATTTGAATTCGGTTACCATTTTCAATTCACGAATGTCAACAATATTGCTGTAGGTGGAGTCTAATGAGCACAGAAGTAATGAATAAGTTGGAACGATGAGTGGAAAACTGAATGAACAATCAAACCGCTGGTACGAGAAGTTTTTTGATTTGTTTAATAGCAGAATCCAATTTCAATTGTGCACGATTTGAAGCGTCTTCGCACTGTATAAGTACGTGTAGTTCATCATCCAAGTGTTCCCAATTTGGTTTACCTCGATTTCGTTGTTCCTTGAAATTCATTAGTTGTACTTTCCATAGGTTGAGCCATTAACTAGAACACTTGCCTCGATCTCGGCATGAGACGTGTTTTTTGAACTGCGACTCTGCTCAACCAGAAGCAACTTTTAAGCTGCTTANAAAACAAATGTAATCACTAAACAAACTCGTTCAGTATCTCGCATTGAACCGCGTCCCCTTACCATTATTCGACACCCAGTTTCCATTTCTAGTTGTTTCGCGGTCATTCCTCGTGGACCCAAAATGCGACCCACAAAATTATACTTGAAAAACATTCGCTTTATCTGACAGTCAAATGAATCAAAGTTCAATCAATGACCAATGTTTGCTTTTAAAACGCAAATGTTTGCATTTTTCGCATTTACCTGCATTTAGCAACAAAGAATATGTTGTCTGAAGTTGGTGGTTTCCATTGATGATGTATTGTGAAACAGAATATATCAGCAAAACTGCTTAGTATCAATATAATCAATGGCATCAGCTAAAGCAACATCAGGCAGTACCAGAAAAACGCGAGGAAGAAGAATAGCGATAATATTCAAAAACATTCGATCATTGTGCTGTGTCACTCCGTGAAAAACACTTCAGTGATCACATATTTAAAGAGTTACAGTGCCATGTTATTGCGCTTATCTGCACAAATATTTCGTATTGCAATTTTCATTTTTTGATACTTCATTTCGAATGTTTTCGCGTACCCTCATGCGTGCAAAAAACACTAAATTCGCATTTTTTTCTCAAATAATCGCAAACTGTGTCGACTAAGTTAGTCATCGTATAGTGACTAAATCGACCTGTAGAACTTTTCATCACCGAAATGTGAAGGTAACTCACATCAGGATATTCTTTTATTGGTATGTAGACCTTCTCTTGAACTACAACCACTTGTCCTTTTGGTTCTGGTAAATCTTGTTTTTCAATTGAAAAACTGAATTGAAATAGTTCCAATTGTACGCGATTGATTTCTGCAATAATTCATTCCATCTCATATAATTTCATTTTGCCAGTAGAACACAAGGTGATTTTGTTCCTTAGACAACCTAATCCCCATCACTGCCATATTTTTTTCAACAGTTCAAAACATGCTGCACGAAAATCGTTTCGAATTTTCGAATGATCAGCGATTCCATTCATGAAGTGAGTCCAAGTGGTAACATACCTTCCTCAATGAGGCGTTCAATATGAATGAATGTTCGAGGGAACATGTTCATATTTGTTCGTTCTTTCAACAATTCAATTAAATAGTCAGCTGTACAATCTCGAAGCATCACGCCATCTTGTCCTAATCGAAATCTCATTAATGCTATGATTCGTGAGCCACTAATAGGAATACAACCTAACGACATGATAATCATTTTCAGCATCTTTCATACCTCCAACAACTAAAACAACTCTAAAGACATCCCAATTTTTCCGCAATATCTCTTTGTTGCGTCAATCAGTCACTGTTATTATGCACAGTTCTCAGTTGAACTTATCGAATTCTGCTCGTAATAATTCAAAATATCATCTATCAATTATGAATATTTTACCATAGTTAAAAGGCGATTGCAGCATTTCATTCTTAACCGAACGATAGTCGTTGAAGAATTGAGGTGACTAAAACTAGTACATTGACTATTTCGTTGCTTCATTCTAGTTTGCTGACCTTCTGTTTTTCGTTTACGAGATCCATTTATATTTGGCTCCCAAGGGCGTTTTTTAATACTTTTCTCAATTGGAACGTTTTATGATCTATTTGATGCCACATAAAAGGAGAAAGTGCATTTTTTACAGCGATGAAAAATGAATGTAATGATTCACATCCATTGACTGTGCTCAGATCGTAATAAGTGGAGATTACAGAGGATGTTGACCTGCATATTGAATGTCGATCCGCCCGATGCCTGCTTAAATGTTGCTTGTGTTTTGTCAGCAAAGATGGCTTTTTTGTTCTGCCCAATCGTTTTATCATATTGTAGATTTGATTTCGTTGAAGGTTCAAACGATTTTACGTTCTCCATTCTTTGCATAGGGCAAGAGAACAATTTGGTTGCTAACAAACAGGAAGTGATTGCTTTTAAGCTGAGCGCAATCAAGCTAAAATGAAAAGAATGAAATTTTTCGTAGAATGTTCAAACCTTCTCCAGTAAGTTCGGAGTTTGTCATTTGGCGATTCAAAATTCAAAATGAGCAAATGAGAGAAGAGGTGATACGTTCATAATGAATGAGTGCTAAGAATGAATCCCTCAGGCTATTAGCCATCACTGATGTTTTTTCATGAATGCTATAATATATAAAGCTACACAACGTTCAGTTGTCATTCATTCTTGTGCAACGAATCGAATGGGTTTTCCTACAGCTAACTAAGTCCTATGTGGTGCTGTTGACGAAAATTGTGATCAATTACCTGAACCACTCAGTCACGTCGTCTGCACCTGCAATAAATGAATGCAGTCGTTGAATTGGGAAACGAATTCGTTTATGGTAATTATGAATTTGGATGAGTTAAAAATTATGAATATTTTGTTCATTTCATTCATCAAGTAATGATTTAATACATACATAATTCTGCACTTCCTTGTTGACGAATCACTGTTGTAATCGATCCAATTAGCAAAATGATTGAGAATTACCATTGAAAATGAGTGTGTTGCAAATCAATCTCATCAAATTTAAAACCATAGAGGCTCACAATATAATGATACAAATTCAACTTACAATCAGCATTACATACGAGAGCCGGCCTTAGATAATACATCTCAGCTTATGACTAAATGAGAATCTCATTTGAAATCACACGATTACAAATCAGGATCTCCAAATCAGGTAATTAATCATCAACTCGTGGTTCCTTAATAATGAGTTAACATATCCACGTTAGTTTTAGTGATGTTACATATCATTTAGCTTGTGAGAATATTGCAAAAAAATTACACCTTGCTAGTGCTTCAAAACTTTTTTTGTACCTTCGGAGCTTTTCGGAGACCATGTTGGATGAAAGTGTATGCTGAATGTATATCATCGAAAGTGTTTTGATTGCTACCTACAAACATCAACAGAGGCATTGTAACACTCATTCTTAAACCATCTACATACCATCCAAACTGTACAATTGCATTTGTGTTATGCTATCATCAGATAGCAATACGATCATCCGTTTCTCGATGCTTCTTGTTATTATTGGACCTCCTCGTCTATAAATGTTCCATTTCATTCCGTTTTGAGCAAAATTTGGCTGTTTCGAAAATTTGAGCGTTCATTATACAGGTTCATTCAATATGCATTTCAGTGCTCAAAGAACGTTCTCGATTAAGTCATAATCAACTATTCATAATTCAGTCGGTTTATTGTTTGGGCATCTCGATTGCTTCGTCAGTTTGATAGAGAAAATGACAATGACAGAAATAAAATGGAGTGACATTTGCCATGCGAATGTGCCAATTTATTTAACGTTTCGACTGCATCACATCACTCAACGTCAAGTTGATGCACATTTTGCGAAGAATCAGACACGGCTTTTTATTGCAAACCGAACTGAGACTTTACAAACCGTTGGTGTTCAGGAATATCTTCTGCGAACACGAAAGTGACCCTTGTGAATATTTTTCCGAATTTTGCCATGTTCAATCGTTTTTCAACTGGCATTCCTTCCGTTCTTGAAGCAATTTCAATGACAGACAGCCTGCCTTTCAGTTTCACATTTTATGATAGACTTTTGATCACAACGGATTCGTGAATTTGATTTCAAGTGATTTGGCCTTTTGATAATTAATGAAGTGAGGTTTCTTTGATAATGCCATTCAAGGTTTCTTCCCGTTGTTTTGGTTGATGTAAAGAAGTAGTTAGCGGATGAAGTGACAAAAATGAGATAAAAATCAAACTCACATAAAAGTAACAACGTCTGAAGTGTTAGCGAAATCCATTTGAATGCGTTTAATCGTCAACGATGCATGCATTCAAAAAGTGAAAAGAACAACAGTTTCTTCTTATTGTGATGCAAATTCGTTTGGACTGTATGTTGAATTTTTTTCGATGGCCACCAAGCAAAGCCGAAAATATGCCTTGTGAATGGTCAGCAAAAAAATTCTGTCGTTTTCTAACCTCTATCCAACATTGCATATTTTTAGCTATTTTTTATTCACTTATTTACTGATTCATTTATTTATTTATTTAATCAGCAATTGCAATATTTCACTACGAGCTTACGCTTTTCTGTTATCACCGGTATCACATTCTTCCTTCATTGACATCCTTCTTGACCTGCTGCATATTTTCATAGTTTGAATTTTTGTGGTTTAGTTCTGAAATGGAATATGATGTTTTGTTCTACGCACATTGTAGCACTTGTTAAGCTGGCATTCAACATGGGAACCGAATGAAACAAGCAGTGTTAAGAATGACTGAGTAGTGATAAATGAGTAATTGTGCGATAAGTGATTCGAGAATAAGATTTTGTTATTGAGCGTATGTGTTGTGATGTGTAGGTGTTTATGTTTGTGCATTTCGATGATTCGTTATAAGAGATAACGTGTTATTTGTTTGTCAATCGTTATCCAACAGATGAAACTTCATCTTAATATAACATTTAATAAAATCATTGGTGAGAACAGCATATGTGCATTCAACAACGATACGTACCGTTCAACAATTGTTTATTGTTGCAGCTTCAAGCATCTTTTATTTTTACGTTTTTTTGTTGAAATTATACGATTAATTCATTGCGTTTACGATTTTTGCTTCGAGAATATTTCTTTGCGTTCTAAAATAAATTCGGATGAGTTAATCTATGCAAAAATAGTTTTGTTATGATCAGTTGCAACTGGATTGATATTCGTTTTTATCATGCACGATTATTGCTATTTGTAAGCGTACCACTTTTTAATGAACGATTATAATGCAGTAGCTTTGTCTACAGTATTTTCAACTGAAAAATAGTGTGAGATTCAGTAACTGAGTCGAATGATTATTGTCGATCATTTTTGTCATTTGTGCACATATATACTAATTCATGATTCGAATTTTTATACTGAAAGTTTATGTTCTATGGAGGGGACAAGAACAATCCAAAACACAAAACAACTGCAAAACGAACCTTTTGTCATTTCTCATCTACAAATTACCCCCCAATGAGTAATCGAACTCAACTCAATGGTGCGGTTTTTATGAAGGATGAACTCTGAAGCTCGGACAATAAGAAAGGCCCACACGCAAAAGAGATGGGGAGAAGTGGAATTATAGGATGTGACTCACATGCTCGTATCGTATGAAGAGTATTATACGGTATGTATTTGTTGTTTTTTTCGATTATGATGATTGGAAAGATTTGTGCTTAATGTTGTTGGGTGCAAGGGAAAATGAACGCGTAAATCAAATTCATTGCGGGACATCATCGAACGCTGATTTATTTTCCTTATGATGTCGACAATGATGTCATAGGCAATATTCTTCAAATTTTAGTGGGTGAATGAAAAAAATTTTTTGAACTGGAATCGTGGGGTTATAATTAAATAGACATGCTGAGTTGTGTGTCAATTGATGATGATATTTATGATGCTAGATTAGTGCTTTTGATCGAATTAGGACTGTTGTTCACTGGTGGTTGAATAGGAAAGGAAGGGAGATGGGATATGAAGTATTGATGCGATGTGATGAAGATAGCGAGCGAGGGTTTATAATGTGGACTGGATGTTGATGACGGCTTGTGTTTCATTGCGTTCGGTATGTTTGCGATGCTCTCTTCCCATACATCTTTCATATTCAACACGGCAACACGACTAGTATTGATCATATCAAGCCAACTTCTTGTTTGTTGCTTATCTAATTTTTCCGAATATGCACAATAATTCCAGTCAGCCATTGTCATGAAATCATAAATCGTCATCGGTTCTGTTTATCCTTTTATCGAGAAACATTCTTCCGTTTTCATTTTGACTCGAAATAAACAACAGAGAAGACCTTAACACTTGAAAAGAAACTTAGCACTTAACACGCATCCATTCTCGAAAAACATCTTGTTGACTGATTGCGAGCTGCTTATCACTGCTAGGTGTACCCACGCGCTAAAATCAATGCCATCTGTGCGTCCATATATCACAAATTCATCATTTGCAATCTAAACGCCGCTTTGTTAACCGATTAATGTACGCTCTCCAATAATATCTTCGATATGATTTCATTCGTTTTCGGTTAAATCCGCTGAATGATTATCCATTTCGATGTCATCAACTTTTTATGTTATTTCACATTCATCCATCTGAAGTTTTTTCACAGGTTTATATTTGCATGTTCTTCTTGGTTCATTCACCGTCGATATTTC